TACCTGCAAAGAACAGAAGATAAGAATAATTTTTTAAAGGGTATGTGGTATACATCCATCTCTATATATCTAACTCTGTTTTCCCTGGAGGACTCATAAAATCATAGAAGCTCAGTGTTAGAGAGTCTTAAAACCCTTCTAATCCAGCATTCCTCCTGACAGTTACATTCTTCTCCAGATAACCTATTGTGATTTCCCTTTGAATGATGCTGGTGACAACTCCTTCGTACCCTGTTTCACAGTTGCTATAATCTATTTTCTTGTAAGTGATAGTGAAACATGAGTACATGTCTTTGAATAAAAAGACTAGGGTTCCTATTTTCACAGTGGCACTTAATCTGCTTTTGTGGGCTTTGGCAAAACACTTCGCTGCTCTGAACTTATCGGACCATCTGTAAAATGGGAATAATAACTTCACTTTAGAGAGAGGGTTGTGAAAATAGATTCAGCTACAAGTTCTGAAATATCTAATACCTTACAAGTGTGAAATCTCATCTATACTGATCAGTCTCCTCAGGACACATTGCACTGAAGTTCTTAACTATAATGATCTGAACACAAGCTTTGTGAAGGGAATACTGCATGCATTTGTTTCTAATTCTCAAAAGTGCCCTTTCACGTACGTATGAAGATTTTCCCCTGTTTTTCTTCCAGAAGGTTTATAGTTTCAGGTCTTATGTTTAATTCTTTAATCCAGTTTGGGTTAATGTTTGTATATGATGTAAGATGAGGGTCCAATTTCATTCTTTTGCAGGTAGATCTTGTTTTCCCAATACCCTTTATTGAAGAGACTATCCTTTCCCCCTTGATGAAGATCATTTGACCATCTGTATGCAGGTTTGCTTCTGGGCTATGATGTTCCATTTGTTAGCGTATCTGTTTTTTATGCCACTATAGTACTTTATTAATTGCTATAGCTTTATCAGAAGTTTTAAAATCAAGAAATGTGAGCCCACCAGCTTTGCTCTTCCTTCTCAAGACTGTTTTTGGCTATTTGGGGTCCTTTGTGGTTCCATGTCAATTATGCTATTATATTTTCTATTTCTGTAAAAAAAAAAATGCCATTGGGACTTTGATAGGAATCACATTGAATCAGTTTGGGTAGAAGGGACATTTTAACAGTATCAGGTCTTCCCATCCATGAACATGGGGTGTCTTTCCACTTATTTGTGTCTTTTTAAATTTCTTTCAACAATGTTTTATAGTCTTCAGTGTGGAGGCCTTTTGCTTCCTTGCTTAATTCCTTTTTTTGTGTGTTTATTTACTTTTAAGAGAGTGCGAGTGGGGGAGGGGCAGAGAGAGGGGGAAGGAGGATCCACAGTGGGCTCTGTGCTGACAGCAGTGGGACTATGTGGGGCTTGAACTCATCAACTGTGAGATCATGACCTGAGCTGAAGTCGGACGCTTAACCAACTGAGCCACCCAGGTACCCTGCTTCCTTGTTTTATTCCCAAGTGTTTTGTTCTTTTTTTTTTTTTTTTAATATTTATTTATTTATTTTGGAGAGAGAGAAGGCAGGGGAGGGGCAGAGAGAGAGGGAGACAGAGAATCCAAAGAAGGCTCCATGCCATTAGCACAGAGTCCAATGGGAGCCTGAACTCACAAACCATGAGATCATGCTCTGAGCTGAAGTCGGGAGCTTAACTGACTGAGCCACCCAGGTGCCCCTGTTTTATTCTTTTTAAAGCTAGACTAATATTATCTCTTTCATGATGGCATAATCTTTATATACAGAAAACCCTCAAGATTTCACACAAAAAACTGTTAGAATTAACAAATGAATTCAGCAGAGCTGCAGGATACAGAATCAATCGGTTGCATTTCGGGAGTGCCTGGGTGGCTCAGTCAATTAAGCATTGGACTTCAGCTCATGTCATGATCTCACAGTTCATGAGTTCAAGGCCTGCATGGGGCTCTAAGCTGTCAGCATAGAGCCTGCTTTAGATCCTCTGTCTCCAACCCCCACCCCCGCCCCGCCCCGGGCCCGCGCTCTCTCTGCCCTTCTGCTTGCACTCTCTCTCTCTCAAAAATAATACATTTTTAAAAAATTTTTTAAAAAATCACAAAAATCAGTTGCATTTCTATACCCTGACAACAATCTAAAAGAGGTCATTTTTTTATCCACTCTGACAGACTTTGTTTTTTTGTTTTTGTTTTTTTTATTTTTTTTTTCAACGTTTATTTATTTTTGGGACAGAGAGAGACAGAGCATGAACGGGGGAGGGTCAGAGAGAGAGGGAGACACAGAATCGGAAGCAGGCTCCAGGCTCTGAGCCATCAGCCCAGAGCCCGATGCGGGGCTCGAACTCATGGACCGCGAGATCGTGACCTGAGCCGAATTCGGACGCTTAACCGACTGCGCCACCCAGGCGCCCCCAGACTTCGTTTTTTAATGAGTGTATTTAGACCACTGACATTTAAAGTGGTTATTGATACAGTTGTATGGATATGTACCACAGGCATTGCTGTTTTTTACTCCTTGCGCTTGATTTTTGTTCCTGTTTTTGGCATCAATTGCCTCGGCCTTTTCTGGTTTTAACTGAGCATTTTATACAATTCCATTTTCTCTGCTGTCTCAAGCAGATCAATTACATTTCTTTTTTTTTTTAGTTAAGCGGTTGCCCTAGAATTTACCACACACATGTCCAAATGACCCAAATCCACTTTCAAATAACACTGTGCTGCTTCATTAGTGGTGCAGGTACCTCATAATCATTTCCCTACTGCCTTCCCTTACAACATTTCATCATTCATATCACTTATTTATAAGCTATAATCACTGAATACATTGTTGCTATCTTTATTTTGATCAACTGTTACTAGATAAATTAAGAATGAGAAAAACACAAGATTTATATTACCTTCGTTAATTTCTTCTCTAATGCCCTCCCTTTCTGTCTGTCGACCTGAGTTCCTGACTTAGAACTTTTTACTTCTTTAGGAAGAACTTATTTTAACACTTCTTGTAAGGCAGTTCTACTGGCAGAAAACTCCCTCAATTTTTTGTTTGAAAAAATGACTACTTCTCCTTCGTTTTTTTACAAAAGCTTACTAAGTTAGGATTCACTTTTATAAAAGTATATAAGCAAATATTGAAATGTTATACGTGCTATTTAAAAAAAAATTTTTTTTTAACGTTTATTTATGTTTGGGACAGAGAGAGACAAAGCATGAACGGGGGAGGGTCAGAGAGAGAGGGAGACACAGAATCGGAAGCAGGCTCCAGGCTCTGAGCCATCAGCCCAGAGCCCGACGCGGGGCTCGAACTCATGGACCGCGAGATCGTGACCTGAGCCGAAGTCGGACGCTTAACTGACTGAGCCACCCAGGCGCCCCCTTGCTATTTTAATACTATGATACAAACACAAGACACAAAATATCCAGTATTAAATACTGATCTCCTTTGCCCGACTCTTTTTAAATATTGAGTATTTTATATTTTATAGAAAGGAACTTTTAGAGTTTAGTCAATACTTATATTATGTATTATTGTTCCTCACCAAAATCTTCATGAAATCTAAGAAGTTGGTATTAAAGTAGCTATTTTTTTTTCTTCTTGAATATTCTAAATGCCAGTTTAGATCAGCATTCAGATTTCCAGGGCATCAAAGATATACTAATACAGGACACACGAACATTTTTTGGCACATTTAAGTTTGTTTTCAGTATGACAGAAATGCCTTCAACTTTCAGATAATGGGGAAGAAACATCCTAAGCAAATATAAAAGATTGGTGGGCCAAGTTACTTCCTAGCAAAAGTAATACATCACTTCAATCAATTTTTACACTACATTCTTAAAAGCATTTGAAAAACACTTGTGTCTTCTAATCGTTAATGCACTCATGTGGTGGAAGATTAGACAAGTAATAGAAATCTTTGTTTTCAAATAAGTGGTCTTAATTTTTCTTCTTAGAGAAGTTTAAAGCAGCTTATCATAAACATATGCAAACTATCAATTTTTGTGGCTTTCAGGTAAAGTCCAACACTTGGTTCATACAGAGTGTATGAGAAGAGGTTCTGATTCGGGAAAGGCGGAAAACAGATCATCCTATCCTACGCAGACTGTTTATCTACATGTTAAGTACACGGGGATGTGCTATAGTACTCCAGGACCATGCTTCCTGTTTTGAGGACGGTGAGACACAGGTAGCACGCACGGGAGGGCATGGGAAGTTGGAACCTGGGGCCTTACCACCGTGTTGGGGCTTCAGAAGGGAAATCTCACACGGCGGACCCAAAAGGAGGACTAAAACACCTTCTTCCAAAGTTAATTTAGCCCCTGTTGAAGACCTAGGCTCAGTGCTGGAGGCTCTGATGCAACGCTTTTTCGTCTTCAAAGAGTTACAATTGCAGGCTCTTGTTCCGAGGTGCTGCTCACCAGTGGATTTATTTATCCACCACGTGTATGCCACTTAACCTCTCCGTGTCAGTTTCCTCCACGCAGGACGGAAGTAAAAAGAGCATCTCTTGCGTAATTTGGTCAGAATGAAACGCTTCACGGACAGACGCGAGGGTGCTGCCTGGCATTCAGCGAGGCGCCCAAGAAATGCCAAGTCCTGCCCTTATCAGTCCTGTTCACCCGGCAAGATTCCACCGTTTGGATGAGAGAGGGCGATTGAAAAACACTGAGCTCCAGTGCCTGTGGCGCTCTCGAGGAGATGCACCACGAACCCAAGATCCCCAGTGGTCTCAGACGGAGACGCGCTTTCTAAACAGAGAAGAACAACGCGCCTGGCCTGGCCTGTTCCAGACGCGCGGCGCGGGGCCGCCCACGACTTCGGTGCCAGGCTTTCCGGAGCGCAGCGCGCCCGGGCGGGGGCCGGGGTCCGGGGTCCGGGGAAGGAAGCAGGGGAAGAGGAAGTTCACTGGGCGCGGCAGCAGGCGGGCGGGGCCAAGAGCCGGGACCGAGCAGGCGGGCGGGGCGCAGTGGGGGAGCTCGGCGCGGCAGGGGCGGGGCGCGGCGGAGTCGGGGGCGGGCCGGCAGTGCCGCGAGCTCGGCTGCAGGGACCGGCGGGGACGTCGCCTGCTCCGAGCTCAGCCGAGCGAGAGGACTTTGCGAGCCATGCTCGCGGCTGTGGGCTCCCTGGCGGCCGCCGTCTGGGCAGTGCTGCATCTGCGCACGGTCCTGCTGGGTGCCGTCGCCTTTCTGTTCTTTGCTGATTTCCTCAAAAGACGGCGCCCCAAGAACTACCCGCCGGGCCCCGTACCCCTGCCCTTCGTGGGCAACTTCTTCCATCTGGACTTTGAGCGGTCGCACCTGCAGCTTCAGCGGGTAGGAGCGGGTGAAGGTGCCCTGACCCTGACCTGCGGGACAGGGGCCGTCCCGGGGATCGAGGGCGGGAGGCTGGGGGGCTGTGCAGCTAGCTAATGCAGGGACCCTGGTAAACCCTGCTTTGAGCCCCGGTTTCCCAATGGTCAGTTGGCATGATTACACCTGCCCTTTCTAGAAGTGAAATAATAGTCACTGTTTACTATTAAAGTATGCCAGACTTGCTACATTCTTTATTGTGTATCTTGTGAAATGTTACTGGAACAGCGTATTTAGGATACGATCACTTTGTCCTCTTTAATATTTTTATCGTTGGGGGAAAAAAACGCTGTACTTAACCTTCTTTGAGGCTGTGTTTACTGAGTGTAAAATGGTGACAGTACTACCTAAATCCTCACCACTTTTCAATAACTGAGCCCCTCGCTTTCAATCTCTTCTCCCTGCGATCTGCTGTTACTAAAGTAATCGTTGTAAAATGTCATCCCTCGACTTAAATTTTCTTAGTGCTTCCCACTGCTTTCCAGAGTGAGGACTTATCTGGGAGCCCCTTGGAACTCTTTCTGACTAAGCCTCTTTCCACCTTTTTATAATCATATCCCGCCAGGGCTCCTTAACCCTGGCTCCTCTGATTTACTTAAAATTCCCTCCAACATCCAAACTTCTCCCAAGAATCCTCAGCTGGTTTCCTACCACTCAGCACAGGCACCTAGCTGAATGACAACACTGTGATAGGTGGTTGTGAAGGTTAAATAAAAACAATGGTCAGACTTGGCTTTTACTAGGTGCACAGTATTAGTCCCCTTTCCCTAGACATGCCTGGAGCACTTTAAACACATGTCTATACTCAAGTACAGAGGGAGAAGGTTTTATCACTTTCTTGGAGAAACACCCAGTTGGTAACACTAAGTGACAGGATTAGTCACAGAATTTTAAAGCGAGGCTCCTAAACCTATACCCATGTTTAAGAAATGTGTTGTTCAATTTCCAAGCATTTGGAAATTCTCCTGCTTGCTTTCTGTTAATGATTTTTCAGTTTGTTGCCATTATGGTGAAAGGACATAGTTTGTCTAATTTCAGGTCTTTTAAATTTGTTAAAGTTGGTTTAATGACCCAAGATACAGTCCCATGCATGCTTGAAAAAAAAAAAAGTATTCTACAATTTGGGGGGTGAGTGTTCTGTATATATCAATTAGATATCATTGGATGATCCTGTTAATTTCTTCTACACTCTGACCTCTTATCTACCAATTCTATTAATCGCTACGAGAAGCATGTTGAAGTCTCCAACTCTAACTGAAGGTTTGTCTATTTTCCAATTCCATTCTGGTGGTTTTTCCTTTATGTATTTGCCATTTCTGTTATTTGGTGCATACACATTAAAATTATTATATCATCTTAGTGAACCGACTCATTTATTATTATGTAATATCCCTCCTTATGTCTGGTGATTTTTATTGCCCGAACTTTAGCTGATATGATGTGACCACACCAGCTATCTGTTGATGATTATTTGCATGGTATATGCTTCTTCATACTTTCGCTTTTAACCTGTTTGTATCATTATATTTGAAATCAGTTTCTTGTAGACAGCATATAGGTGGGTCATTTTTTTTTTTTTTCCCATTTTGCCAGTCTCTGTCTTTTAATTGGTGGGTTTAGATCATCTTATTTATTTTCTATTTTTCCCTCTTTTTTATTCCCCTATTTATTATTTTTCTGTTTTCCTGTGGGTCACTTGAACATTTTTTTTTAGAATTCCATTTTAATTTATTTATTGTGCTTTTCAGTATATCTCTTTGCATTGTGTTTAAGTGGCTACCTAAGGATTATAATAGGCACATATAGCTTATTGTCATCTACTAGTGTCAATATTTTGCCACTTCAAGTTCAATGTGGATACCTTACAAATGTTAGATCCTTTTATCCTCCCCGCTTTACACTATTATTGTCTTAAATATGATCTCTCTATGGGGCGCCTGGGTGGCTCAGTCGGTTGAGCGTCCAACTAGGTTCAGGTCATGATCTCACGGTTTGTGAGTTCCAGCCCCGCCTTGGGCTCTGTGCTGACAGCTCAGAGCCTGGAGCCTGCCTCGGATTCTGTCTCCTTCTCGCTCTGCCCCTCCCCACTTCTGCTCTGTCTCTGTGTCTCTCAAAAATAAATAAATGTAAAAAAAAATTTTTTTTAAATATTATCTCTCTATATATTGAAAACCACATCAGACAATATTATAAACTTGCTTTTAACTGTTAAGCACATTTACTCATTTATTTACCCTTATTTTGCTGTTTCTTTATTCACAGTTTTCCAGATTTCTACCAATATCATTTCTTTTCTACCTGAGGAACTTTCTTTAGCCCTTCTTTTAGAGTCAGTCTGCTGGCAAAAAACTTCTCTCAACTTCCGCTTACCTAAAAAATGTCTTTATTTCACTTTTGTTTCTGAAGTATATTTTCATTTAATATAGAATCCTAGGTTAACAGTTTCTTTCATTCAACATTTTAAAATGTTGTTCCACTTCTTTCTGGCCTCTGTGGTTTCTAGTGAGAAACCACATTTGAATTGCTGTTCCCCATAAGTAATCAGTTGTTTCTCTCTGCTGCTGTCCAGAAGTCGTTTTGCTTTTAGTTTTCAGAGATTTGATTATGGTACGTCGTGGTGTTGATGTCTTTGGGTTTATTGGGTTCTTGGATCTGTAGGTTGATCTCTTACCAAAGCCGGGAAGTTTTCAGCCATTGTTTCTTCAATATTTTTTCAATTCCACAGTCTTTTTCCTTCCTTTCTGGGACTCTTGGACACTGATGGTGCAAATGTTAGATCTTTTGTTATTCTAACGTAGGTCCCTGAGGCTCAGTTTTTGTTCTTTTCGATCTGTTTTCTCTGTGTTGTCCTGACTGTATACAGTCTGTTGATCTTCTCAAGTTTCACTGGTTCTTTTGTCATTACCCTTCTACCATTGATTTGCTCTCCTGAGTTTTTGTTTAGATAGTTGCATTTTTAAGTTTTAATTTTTCCCTTTGGTTCTTATACCTATCTTTTATTTCTTTGGTAAGATTTTCTATTTAAAATTTTTGAGAGTATTGGTAATTGTTAAAACATATTATAGCTGCTTTAAACACTTAACCCTATAAAGTTAAAAGCTTCTGTCCTGGGGCACCTGGGTGGCTCCGTCAGTTAAGCGTCCCACTCTTGATTTCGGCTCAGGTCATGATCTCAGGGTTTGTGAGTTTGAGCAGCACATCAGGCTCTGCCCTGACAGTGCAGAGCCTGCTTGGGATTCTCCACCACCATCCCCACCCCTCTACCATTCAGGCTGTCTCTGTCTCTCTCCAAATAAATAAATAAATAAACAAACTTTAAAAAAAACCACCTCTGTCCTATTAGGCTAGCCTTTTTCTGAAACTTTGTCTAGAGAAAGCAAGCCTTTCTTGGAGTTATTTTTGTCTGTGCCAATTAGTGTCATGAATAGTAGGGGAGTAAAATGGAATGCTTTTACTCAATCTTGTATGAAATCATAAATTTGATATGTGCCTCTGGTTTACTACTAAGATAGACGTGATTAGAAAGGGTAAATGATTTGCCTGTCATAAAACTGGCTAGTGATGAAACCGAGGCTAGGATCTTATCCATGGCCCGATGTTTTTTCATCAGAACTATTAAATTTTACTGCATACAGGTTTGCATTTTTTATGTATTTGGTTGTAAAACAAATGGAGTCAAATGGTGTATTTAGTTATAACTAAATTTACACTCTAGCAGTTCGGAAACATTAAGTACCAACTATTTGCTAGATCCTGTATGAGGACTTATCTGTTCATTTTCATTTACTCTTCACAAAAGACACACAGGTTCGTCATTAGCTGGTGCGGTTTCCACTTTGCCACTGAGGAAAGTGGCTGCAAATAATAAAGTTGTCTGCTTGAGTTATTCAGCATAGATGACGGCAAAACGAGCACTTCAATCCAGAACTGTTTGACACTTACACCTATTCTGTACTTGGGCTACTTGACTTTTCATGACAGTGAAAGGATGACTAATTTATCCATGGATTCATTTATCGGACACACGTTTATGAAGCGCTTACCGTATGACAGGCACAGCACAAAACAGTATATGATGCAATGTGTGGTGTAGACTCTTGGTAACCAAACGAAGTATCAAGAGATGGGATCCCTGGGAACGGGAAACCCTAGAGATAACGTCGTGTAGAATGTTGGAATAAATTGAGCTGAGCGTTAAATGGATGTTAGGCAAGTGGCCACGCGGAGTTCAGGGGACAGGAGATTTTAAATGGGACAAAGTGGCGTGAGCTAAAACACAGCAACAGCACCGTGAAGAAACTAGCCTGTTTAAATGGTACGATGGGAACTTTCCTTGTATTTTTCCCCCTATATTTTAAAACTTTCTCTATCATGGCTATATGGCCAATTAGAGGAGCATTTATCCAAATAAGAGAAAAGCTTATTGTACTAAAGTGGGAAAATGGTAGATAAGATGGATAAATGTATTAGGTAGGGTACACATTGAGCTGCTTATAACAGAGACCCCAAAATACAGTGGTGTAAAAAAAGATTGAAATTTACCTCTCTCCCACAAATGAGTTCAGATGTAGGCAGGAAGCCCGGGATAGGGAGACTGCTTTCTATAGCTCAAGACGCTCCAGAAACTTCATTTCCTTCTTTGTTGTGCTCTGGTCCTGCAACCCCACTGTGTGTACGTTCTGGTCCACGGGAAGGGGAACGGGCTAGGTAGTGCAGTTTTCATTTAAGGATGAGACCCGGATAACGTGCACGTCACCACTACTCATGTCCCACTGGCTACACCTGGAGAAGCTGGGGAATGTGGTTTTTGATTGGAAAGTCATGTGGCTAGTTAACACTTAGTGCCATCACTCACAAAAAGAGAATATCTCCATCCTTTCATTTAACTATTTTTATTTTGCGAGAAAGAGCATACACGTGAGTGAGAGAGGGGGTGAGAGACAGCATCCCAAACAGATAGTGCA